GACAAAAAAAGAAGGCATTTGTCTAGTTACTCAATTTCCGTCCAGTCATCAAGTCGAAGCTCGAGCAAAATTGTAAAATTCCTGCAGTTATAATACACCGGAATGAGTTCATGTCTGGAGTCTGGACACACAGGGAGGCGGTGGGCTGCCATTATACCAATCTGGTGAGTAGCAACGGCCAGGAGACCTGGTCATGTCCGTTGGGCTGTCACATCTGGAGTTGTTGCACATTTTCTTCTGTTTCGTCAGCAGTAGCACTAGCATATGCAGAATCTTTGCAAATTGAAACCATGTCAAAGCAGGCTGAGCGGTGAGTGCAATGTGCTGGTGCATCTGGACTTCCTGCTAGGCTGGTAGCATTCCTTTCGCCTCCCAATGGGCATCCTTTCCGGAGCATCGGTTTCTTCTTTGATGAAGAAACATTCGGCACGTTTATGCACAGTATGTAAGGTGGCTGGTCACCACCAGTGGCTGCTGCTCCATTGAAAGCTACCTCTTCTCCCCAACAGCCTGCTGTCACATTGATATGAAGATACACCAAACATGGGCACCTGATATATCATTATAGAAAACTCACATATAACCTGGAAAAGAGAAGTAGTGGTACTCCTGCATGTAACTGTAGTCCCCATCCAAAACATGGGCACCTGATTGATGGTACAAAAGTAGCGCACGAGACGCCTAGAGGCTAGTGCCCTCTGGTCTTTTTCTTTGCTGTTTTCATCAACAAACCCAGCAATATAATACTGACAGTTAGCAAAAGCATACTAAACACTGCACACCAACAAAATACCTATGCATAAAGCTTCGGACAGTTACATTGCTCTCCAACAAGGACATTCTCGCACCAAAGTACCATGTGCTGCGTTTCTCGATACATATGATGCAATGGAAGGAAGAGCTGCTACATCCTACTTCAGCCAGCCTTCCTGCTTATCTCTTGTTATCTATTATTAAGTCCTAGAGTCTGAAACCGCAAGTTGAAGTTTGGAGTAGCCCAGTCCAGCACACAAAAATCTGATACAATAGGATAGCATCTATTAGCCAAGTCCTAGGTTTCGCATATCCCTCCTTTGGGCAGTGGAGCCCTCTTTCTTGATCCTAGAAGGCCTGATAATACGGTCAATAATCCCATATTCAAGAGCCCCTTCAGCGTCAAAACGCTTCACCCTAGAGAGGTCCTCATGGATCTGCAAAGAAGTAAATGTTTGAGAAGAAAGGGATGCTTGAACTGAAGTTACGAAAGCCAAGTGGAAAAATTATAATACATGATCCTCTATGGGACTTCATCATGAGATACCACAGGCTAGAGCAAACCAAACCATCATTTACCACCAATGGGATGAGAAAGAAGATCATGTAATCTGACTTTCTTACCTTCTCGACAGAATGACCTGTGTGCTCTGCGAGTTTGCCATAGAGATAGTTCTTGATACGAATAAGCTCGTTTGCTTCATTTTCTATATCATCAGCCTGCAGATAAAGGTCCAATAAATCAAGACTGTAAAATGTAGGCATTTCCCATATTAAACAGTTAAGTTTACAAACCTGCCCTCGAGCTGCTCCAGCAGGTGACTGAAGTGAAATCCGGCATAGAGGCATACCAGTACGTGAACCCTTAATAACAATACATACAGAACAACAGAAATAGGCATTATACATGAGCATATTAAAGCCACATATGGTCAATAGAAAGACAATACTAAGTAGTAATACCTTTTCACCAGCTGCAAGAATAAATCCTGCCAGGTTGAAAGCAAAGCCCAAGCAGTGCGTACCAATTGGACTTTTTAGACTTAGTATGGTATCATATAGTGCCATACACGGAGTAAGCTGCAACACCAGGGTAAGTTTGGATTCGAATGTAACATGAGTATCTTAGGGCAATCTGATTTTCATGGACTTCTTTTTATTATTTATATGAATATTTTAAAAGCATCAAAACAAGATATCTGTAATATGCAAAATCAACTATTCACAATTTATGCCTTGATGATTGATAGTGTAGTAGGTAGAAGGTCAGAGAATCATGGGCTCACTTAAAAAAAAAAAGAAATGAAAGGTGTAACAGTGAAATAAAAGGAGACCAACACAAGTACAATAATAGTATTCTGAGGTCCTTACATCTCCACCTGGTCCATTAATGTATAACATTATCTTTTTGGAATTATCAATGCTGTCAAGATACAGCATGCTTGCCAACACTTGGTTGCTGAATTCTTCATCTATATTGTCCCCAATGAAGATAATCCGCTCACGGTACTGCACATTGACAATTCAAATTACTTTTACATGCACAGCAAAAAAACATAGTTACATCAACCCAAGGAAGCATATAGTCAGTGTTATTCGGTTTACCAGAGCATTCCATATGTCAAGCCATTGCCAGGTTCCTTCACCAGGTGTTCTGTAAGGCACCCGTGGAGTACCAATAGGCATCATTGAAATGCGGGCTCTGGTCGCCTTCTTGTTTGACAACCTATCAAGGGTATATTTGCAGAATACTGAGATGAGAAATGTGCCCAACAAACCACATCAGGATCATTCTGTGTTTTTTTGGCTACTCAAATACTATATTGCTATCTAAAATATCCACTACTGTTAGAAGAGGCATAACAAGTAATTTCTCCAATTGTTAACTGACAATCTGATAGAAGGGTTCATGATGTCATCTTAGTTTGGAAACAAAACTCATCTGTTTCAGTATCCATCGTCAACAATACCACCACCACCCATATAATGCAGTGAGCGAGCTCATCACAGTTCAGCCAGCATCCATGTAAGTGTCAAATCCCATGAGCCTAAGATTAAGATGGTATAACATCCAAATACCAACAGCGCAGACATACACCTAGGCAACGACAAAAGGTCTACACAAGCACAGATAGAAATTAGGGATCTACGCACACTCACCCCAGAGAGATCCTCCGGTTGACGGCAGTGTAGAACCCAGCGCTGACATTCGGGCACGACGATTCCGACGACCCTGCTCACCATCCTCAACCCGGAACCAAAATCAAACACAGAAGACGAATCCACCAAAAAATTAAACAAGTTTCGGTTGAATCTCACCGAGCTTGGTCTGCGCCCGGAGCCCGACGAAGACCCTGGTGCCGACGCTGCAAGAGTGGAAACACAGAGAAGCCGGGGGCCTCAGAGGGGGTAGTAGGGTTTAGGGTGTGAAGGGGTCGGAGAAGAAGGGAGGAAGTGACCGACCTGAGAGAAGACGGCGGGCTGGCGGTCGCGCGGGGGTGGAAGCATGAGGAGTTGGCCGGCGCCGCCATTGGAGCGGGCGGCGGAGTGGTCGGGGGACACACAGCTGGCGGGAGCGACGAGTGTGACCCAGTGGATAACGAGGGACAAGATGCAGGCGTGGCCCGCGCCGAGATTCGTGCAGCGCTGGGTGTCCGTGGATGCGAGTTCGCCGCTTCCCCGCGCGCCGTCCAGCCGCGCCCCGGCCCCGTTGCTCGCTCGCGTCGGCGAGCCGCGCCCCCGCCCCAGCCCCGGACAGCCCAGCCCCCGCCCTGGCCCCGGCCCCGGCCAGCCTCGCGCTTGAGCAGGAAGAAGGATGTCCTGACGTGTGGGTCCAGCACGTCAGTGAGACAAAGGACTCCCACTGATGGGCTGCAATGGGCTTGTTGTTGGGCCAGCCCATAGATCCGCCGTGAAGCTCTACCAAACGGTTTTTTTAGTTTGTGGGATCCGGATGAAAACGGACGGGTACCGTTTTTTCCTATTCGTTTTCGTTTTTTCCGGGATAAACGGAAACGGGACCGAAAACGGAACGGAGTGAAACAGCACCGGGACCGAAAACGGTAGAGCGTTCGTCCGTATTTGCGGTATCCCGTTTTTGATTGGGATATCCCGTTTTGCATCCTGTTTTTATTAAGTCCGGGATAGTCCATCCACATAGCTGGCCCAACTTGGCCCAAGACACAACACCGCATCCGCACCCTCATCCCCAACGGCGACGCGGCCTCCCCCGCCCACCGTCCTCTTTCTCTTCCTCCAATCCTCCGGTGCCAGACGCTGGCGGCCGCGTCCTAGGACCGGCTGATGTCGCGGGCTGGAGGATGAGGAGATCGTGGTGGCTGGAGCAGGTGGTCACCGCACTCGGCGTGGAGCGCGCCGCCGGCCGCGCGCACTGCGCCGGCTCCGATAGCCTGCTCACCATCGACGTGCTCCTGGCAATGCTGAATCGCTTCTTCATGAACGTCAATGTGCTCGCGCACGCCGGAACCATCTTAGGCCTAGCGTAGTTTGCACTGCAGCCAGCCATGCAGTGTCCAACTGCTAATTTGTACAAATTGATGTTAGAAAGTTATTGATTGGAGACTGCTCCACATTTGATTATGTGTTTTCATATCAATTATTATTAATCTGAAGTTCTGAACTTAAGCATTCGAGTAACTGGTTCAGTATAGGCACAGAAACATCAATCAATCAGAAGAAATGGTTTGTCGTGATTCAGCGATCAGCTTGCTGCCTGGAGTACTTATGACAGCAGAGAAACAATGTAATAATATTTTATGTGTGGTCTGTTAGGTGTATTATCTATTTACTAATGCACCTTGGTTTCTATATTTGAGCTATCATATGCGGCGTGCAATTACGGCTTAAGTTTCTGCTTACCGTTTGTTTCCATCTATTTTCTGATCGTATTTGATCGTATTTACCCATTTTCGTATTACCGTTTATCCTGCTACAGTTTTCATTCCCGGCTGTCCGGCTCCCACTCTCGTTTCCATAAAAAAATATGAAAACAAAAACGATAAAGCTATTTTCCGTTGGTTTCCGTCCGTTTTCATCTATAATCCCAGCTCCACGGTGGATCTAGGTTCCAAATCTGTTTTTTGAGAGCTCAAACAGGCTTTTATTGGTAAAATTTACTGATTTTCAGTTGGGTGTCACGGAGCTATCATGTTCCTTTTCGAGTTTTCGTCTTTCCCATGAAATCATTTATCTAGATCACGTTTTACAAGCAGGAGTTCTACAAGAATTCAAAGAGAACCGAACCATTCAATTTCTGAGAAATCAGTCAAAATTCGAATCATCCAAATGAGACTTGGATACAATTCAGGCTCATGGATTCTGAATTTACATGTTCCAAATGCATACAATACAAATGAACGACCCATCTCTGCGTTGTGCTCATGACAGTGTTCCTGACAATAGAGACATGATGATGCAATTTTTTCTGACAGTGTCCAACTCAGTAGAGACTGACACATGAGTACATGACAGTGTTCCTGACAATAGCCAGTCGATGATGCAATTTCGACAGATTCACAACACAGATATGAGATTGTTTTCCTGAATTCTACCACTTCAGCTGTCGTGAAAGTACAACAGTATAATGAAATTCGACATTACACCTGTTCTTTCGCTTTCTATCTATATAAAAAAAATTGCCTATATTTGAAGTACAACCAGTATATGGTAGTGTCCACAACCAGCCCCATGTTTCTGCTTGTAATAAGTTCTGAAGCTGCCTTCAAGGCTTCAATACCTGAAGTTTGGCCTTATTCTTCTTTTGGTTCTTGTTAGTGTACATGCATACGATACTCCAAAGGGTATGAAAAAATACATCAGCGCGCAACATAGGTATCTTAGAGTCTCATCGTGTCATCTCAATACTGTTCTTGCCAACCTGAGGGTACACTCGATAAGCTCAATCTCCTGCTGGTATTGCGTTCCCTTGTCAACACCCTGTTATGGAAACTAGGGATGTTAGTTCTTGGACAGAAGGGGAAAACCTATGGTACAGGGATGTGGCAGCATTGGTAACGGGCACAAGCAAAGTTAAAGTACTAGTACCTTATGATGTTCTGTTCCAACTGATGGAGTTGCACGCCAAAGTTTCAGATTGGTGAAAGCAGACCTATCTGTGCTTGCATCTATTTTGTTGGCCTTGTTTTCTGACTCTCCCTCAAATTTTGTTTTTGTGGAAGCAAACCAATTGAGTTCATCAAAATGGTTTTCTTGTTCCAATACCTAACACAAAGCATCAGAACACAAGGCCTCGAGTCAGAACTCAGAGAACATAAAGGTAAGACTGTCGACACCTGAATACATTCATAAATAGCCCTGGTAAAGGAAAAGCAGAATGAAACAAGCATAGCACTCGAGCAAAGTTACCTTGAGGATAAAAGCAACCCCTAATAGGAAACTATCATAGGTATGAATGGTGTTCTTGGCTTCATGCCCTCGTCTCAATAGTTTATCCTTGAGAAGCACCCTATTGTCCACCATGTTGGCAATGAGCAATGGAACAATTTGGAAAAAGTCATCCATTGCTTTAAGCTCATTGCTCAGAATCTTCTACAGATCATCCAAGAAAAGTTGAGGAGTCAGAACGGTCAAAGAGGAAACACAAGGCTTCTTAGCATACCATTTGTGTGAATGTTTGGCGGAACTTTACAAGATATAAATCCCAGCCCATGCCTTATACGTGACTGGCTGAACAAAAAAAACAAACCTAGCCAATGTAGCAAACCAGTATTACCCAAGCTCAAACTAGATTGGAAAATATTCGATGATTGCATAGGTGTTATGCAAAGTTGATGGAACATCATCAACTAGTTCAGTTAAAAAACAATTTTATTGTGGCTTATCATGTGAGCCCTGTTTGCTTACTACGTGCATTCTTGCTCGGGAATTCTGGTCACGGATCCTCACGCCTTTGGGACTGCGTGACCGAACTCCCACAAGAAGAGAGAGGTCATTGGCAACTTGGTGGCAGAAAGCAATCAAGAGAATTCCAAAAGAGAAGAAGAGAGGGTTGAACTCAATTATCATTCTAGGCTCCTGGACACTTTGGAAGCACCGAAACGCCTGTGTTTTTGAAGGGTCTCACCCCTGCATCACCAAGCTGCTTGACGAGTTCAGAGATGAGCACCATTTTTGGTGCCTGGTGGGAGCGCGTGGCCTGCGCACGCTGGGACTGGGTCACGGTGGTGGGCTTAGTTAGCCTACCTTGTTTAGGTCAGTTAGGAGGTTTGTTTGTGGTCAGGTCTCACCTCTATCTCAGTTGTCTATTAGTTCATCCGATGTAATGTAAACAACCCCTCACAGCTCGGCCCGGAGTGAGGTGGTGGTGTTTGTAAGGGGCCGATCCATTTTCTCTCTTTAATACAATGATATGCAGCTCTCCTGCGTATTCGAGAAAAAGCTTTATTTATGATATAATTTTTTTCCCCTGATCAACATGCATCAGAGTGTGCATAAAAGTACAATTACTTTTTGCCTGGAAAAATGAGGGTGTGTGATATTGAACTAGTAACCATATTTTACCAGTAAAAAAAAATACTTCTGAGCAACACAATATTCACAGAGGTACTTGTCCTGACTCCTGAATTACAAGATGATAATTAGATTGACTTATCATTGTGAAACAATGCAAAAACTACTTCTAGGATAGTAGTATGTGAATAAGACAGGTGCACCATATGAAAATATTGAACCTTCCACCTATAGTACTACACAAAAGGAAAGTTACCATTGTATGATGTTCGAAAACACAACAGACAGTGTATAGAAAGTAAAAACTGACATTCGGCAGTTGACATAATTTAGAATTTCACATAGCTTGGAGAGGGAAATATAAAACTAAAAGAAAACAGTAAATGGTAAGTGGAAGAGTACCTGTCTAATGTAGGTAACCAACCTTAGAAAGGTTTGAATCCTCTTATCCAGTGCTTCCTCGTTTCTTGCCTCCATATCCAGTATCTTCCCAGTTTCAGCAATGTCATAATCCCAACCCACTATCTTGCAACTTGTCGAGTAGCTCAAGTCATAGTTGGACATTCTTGCATATCTACAAGCATGAGAAAGGACCAGCTGTGAACAAAATATGTGTCCACAAGCTCAACCAAGAAAGTTTAAGAGAACACACCTTGAGATGCTGTTGGAATAACGGGTACAACCAGCAGCAAGCATTCTCATCAGGCCTACTGCATTTCCTATTCTATACACCACAGCTTGTACTTGTTCAAGGAAACCCAGAGTATGGTCTCCAATTCCATGCTTCCCTATGGTAACTTTCAGCTCTCCTTGGATAGCAGGGTGTGCACTGGATACCCTAGTGTTCTGGTATATCAAGTAAAAATTAATAATTAAATAAATAATTTAAATTAAATATGGTAACTTTCAGCTCTCCTTGAAGTACGTCGGGCTCATTAAGGACATGTACAACAATGTTGTGACTAGTGTTCGAACAAGTGATGGAGATACGGATGACTTCCCGATTAGGATAGGACTACATCAAGGGTCAGCTTTGAGCCCTTATCTGTTTGCCTTAGTGATGGATGAGGTCACAGGGGACATACAAGGGGACATCCCTTGGTGTATGCTTTTCGCGGACGATGTAGTGCTAGTTGATGAAAGCCGGACAGGAGTGAATCGGAAACTGGAGTTATGGCGGGAGACAACTAAAACTGAGTATATGAGATGTGACTTCGGCACTACTACTCGGGAGGAGAAATATATTAGTTTGGAAGGTCAAGTAGTGCCTAGGAAGGATACCTTTCGATATTTATGATCAATGCTACAGAGAGACGGGAATATTAATGAAGATGTTAGCCATAGAATCAAAGCAGGGTGGATGAAGTGGCGCCGAGCATCTGGTGTCCTATGTGACAAAAGGGTACCACAGAAGCTAAAAGGCAAGTTTTATAGGACAGCGATTAGACCTGCTATGTTGTATGGTGCGGAATGTTGTCCTACGAAAAGACGACATGTTCAACAGATAAGTGTCGCGGAAATGCGTATGTTGCGTTGGATTTGCGGTCATACAAGAAGGGATCGAGTTCGGAACGATGATATACGTGATAGATTAGGGGTAGCACCAATTGAAGAAAAACTTGTTCAACACCGGTTGAGATGGTTTGGACATGTCCAACGGAGACCTCCAGAGGCACCGGTGCGTAGTGGAATCCTAAGCCAGGATAGTAACGTGAAGAGAGGCAGAGGAAGACCGAAGTTGACTTGGGTAGAGGCAATAAAAGGAGACTTGAAAGGATGGAATATACCCAAAGACTTAGCCTTAGATAGGAGTGCTTGGAAACAGCTATTCACGTGCCTGAACCTTGATTGCTTCTGCTGGTTTCAACTCTAGCCTACACCAACTTGTTTGGGACTTAAAGGCTTTGTTGTTGTTGTTGTTTGTTATGAAATAACTAGCTCGTCTTCTGTTCATGACGCGGCCTATGGTAAATATCCAAATAGGGTCAGAGATCACCCTACGCATCACAAGTAGCACAATATAAATAATACAGAACATATCAAGAGCAAAAATTACCTCTAACTGTTTTAAATCCTTTAACATATGGAGGTCGGCGTTGCTTTGAAGCAACACATCCAGATCTGAAACCATCCTGTCTAAAAACATCAAAATGGAGTCCAAAGCTGCAGAAATTTGCTGCAAACTGCACATCGCTGTTGATGATGCAATGTGTTCAACACAGAAAACTCTTAAATTTTTTCGGCCTTGGCCATCCAGATCATTCTCAATAAACATCTGCATAAATACATACAGACAAAAGCGGGACAAAAGAAAGACAAGTTACTTTAAGAGTCTTAAGTCTTAACACAAGCATAAATGAGATTTTGCTGGAACAAACAGCTGCAGAGTACTTCCTCTGATTCCAAATGAAGTCATTTAGGACATGACAATTGACAAGGTCTCCAATATGACACTTTAACTTACAATTTTGCAGAAGTATACTATTTAAATAGAGAAAGTTATATACCATGAACAAATTTTTCCATGATGAATCTAGTAACATCAACCATAATTCTTAATCCATATAACTTTACATATATTGATGGTTCAAGTTAAAGAAGCTAGAATCCTAAGACGTCTTACATTTGGAATCATAGGGAGTAGGCAAACATATTTTAGGTTTTGAAAGAGGCCACTGCTAATATCTTAGCCCACGATTTAAAACATTGGGAAAAAAAGACTATTCTTCAGATTCTTACAACTTGAAAAGAGTTCATATGAAGAATGATTACTAAAGTGTCCTCCTTCCATGACATAAGTATTAGTACCCACCTGTTTGATAATGCTGTAGGAGTATTTCTCACAAAACGCATAAAGATCTTCGATAGTTTTTCTGAGATCAAAACCTTGATCCAGAGTTTACACAGTAAGACGGAAATCTTCCAGTTCAACACCATATTTCAGCTCTCCTAGTTCATGCATCTCTGCATATATCTAGAGTAAACTCAACACATAAGCAAGCATTTGATAAGATAATGTACATGGGAAGGGCATGATAGTTGATAGATACCTTGTCATCATAATTAGGCATCACAGAGTACGTATAGAACGCAGAATTTAGATGATTTTCCACTAGCAATTTAACATCAACAAACTTGACAGGTAACCTCAAGGGCCTCATTCGTAAGTACCATGAAAGATTACGAACCCCAGTCTGACCATCAACGCAGACATAGTTTATGTCAGCACTAAAAAAACAAAGAAATAATACAATTCTCAACCCTTACAATGTACTTTGTTACCTTTGTTGGGTTCACATCAACTGCTCCTTTCAAATGAGTAGAATGAACATGAAGTCGGAGATCAGTCTCAATGTCCCTGCACAGTGGAGCAACCACCTCCTACAGAAAAGAGAGTGGCCATGTCTTACTTCGAATTCCTGACTTTAGTCAACACAACAGTATAACAGTATATGTAGTAAAAAAAACTCACCTCCCTCAAAGCATTCTCAATGTCTTCCTCATAACTCCGAAGAGCAACTGGGCCCACATTCCCAAGCCCAAGGAGCAATGTTCCATCAGAAAATGAATCAATGATGTTTCTGTTAACTCAAAATAATCAATGTAAGGAAAAAACGAACACTTGTGATTGAGACTTCTCGAAAAGAATTAGTGAGAAGTCCTATGTAACACACAAACAAATTGAAGAAAAAAATACAAATATCAAACAGATGAGCCAATCAAAGAATAAAACTAATGCACAAAATCGAGCAGAGTACTTAAAATGAAAAATAATAATAATTCCCAATGACAACACATCCCATTGTTCATATCAAAGGCATGTGGATGTGGTTATAACTTATAAGAGCATCATGAAATTTTACTGACATCTAAAACACTTACTGTATCCAAGACAATTTGCAAGCATCTCCATATACCATGGATAACCAAATTGAAAGCATCTCCTTTCTCCAGTACAAGAAGCTACAGTTTGTTCTTTCATCAATCAGGGACTGGCAATTTGAAAGAATTCTGAACTTCAATATAAGCTTCCTCACTCTACCCAATTCAACATCCAAGTGACCCTGCTTTGTGGCTACAAATATTAGTATTATAAACATCAAATAAAACATATCTATTAAGAAAAGCAAACAAAATAAAAACAATTATTGTTGATAGCACTTGTATTCAATAATAGCCCCATGGAGGAAATAATATGAGTAAATGAGTACACAAAGAGGACTTTCTAGAAGATTTGATGGAGATCAACTTGCTAACTCAGACTTCAGAATAAAGTATTAAGCTAAATCTGGAAGTATGCAGGCAAAAGCAACATATCCATATTCAAGTTCTCAACCATACCCAATTTGGTTAATCTGTGTTAACTCAATCAGTCATCATGCTACCTTTAGCGTTAGAAACGTCTTGAGGTGCAGTTTTATGAGTTCGCATTCTCTTCAGGTTCGCAAGCAAACCAACTGACCAACCACTAGCAAATTGTATCCATGTAATCTCTAAACATGCTAGTTAGTCTACATTTGTACTGCACAGTACCACACGAGCACTAAAATTAACATTTCCAGAGGACGCTCAAGCCAGCTACAGCAAGATGGTAATAATGCATCCAGTAATTGGCAAACACACCAGACTGTGTAGAATATCCATGGTAATAGAAAGTGTCAGCTGCCTCGAAGAACTTCCACCTCCTTCAAGCAATTGCAAGGATATCAATACCTGGAGCAATCAAGAAATACAAAACTAGTCAGTTCTAGAACTAAATCACTGAAATAAACAAATTAGCTAAATAATATTTGTATCTTAAAGAAAAAATGGTTCTCAGATCTTCAACTGAAACTTAGCTGAAAAAGAACCATCCTAATCTGATAGTTGGCTATCCAGCATGCTCTACAGTTTTACTGACACAACAATTACAACTCGCATAAATATCAAACACAAACTCCAGTATCTACTAGATCCCTATCTCAATCAGAGGCAGCACAGTTACAGTAAACCTTAAGTTAACCTGTTTTCATTTTCTTTTCTAGTGAAAAAATAATTAACCATCAGCAATAATTTGCAGCATTACCCTCGTTACTAATCAACCGAATTATAAGAATAGAAAGGAGATAGAGGCAACAAGAAATAGGATAGTCAAGTTGTAAATATGTAAGAGGTCGCTTGGCTGGGGCTGCTAGGGCTGAGGGTAGCGGCGGCTATGGTGGTGGCGGATAGGGTTTATGAGAGGAAGAGGGGACGGCGCAGGGGAAGAAGAGGAGGTGACGCAAGAGAAAGAGAGGGAGGTGGGGGGGGGAGGGATAGGGAAGCCCTTAGGCTGTTCTTTCTTGACTGCAATGATTACATAGCCCCTCTACTTATAGTCCTGAGTAGACTTGTATCCTAAGTAATCTAATGAGGGAAGTCCTTATAGACATGGACTCCTCCCTATCTAATCTCAACTGATCCTATTCCTATTGGAGATCCTCCGGGTATGGATAGTGGAGCGGCAGGGACCCGCCCTTGCTGTGCGCGCCTCCTTCCTAGGTGGCGCCCCCCTTGGTGGCGGCACTGCTGCTGCCCCTGGCGCCTAGGCCAGATGGCCCTTCAGCCCTCATTGGGCGTATGACATCACTCCCCCCTTCTCTGATCAGCGCGTCCTCGCGCTGAAGTAGTGTCCAAGTGTTGACGCTGTCGGGTGGATACGCTTGTCCCGGCATGGCTTCAATGGTGACGAAGAGGCGACCACGAATTGGGTCTGCAAGGATGAGGTTGTCCCTGGTGCGTTCCACGACGAACTCGAGGCGGTAGAGTAGGTTGCTGATGTAGCCGTAGAAGAAGTAGGTGTATGGCCTGATTGCTGTCTCCGCGGTCGTCGTTATTCGGTGGGCTGCTAGCAGCAAGGTGCGACGGACCGCGGCGTCGACAGCGAAGTGCTGCATCTCTTTCGGTGGCGCCATGAAGTTGTTGGGGTGATTGGCGATGTCAGGAAGCAGGTAGGTTTTCACTCGTCGCCAGATGGTGGAGTTGGAGCGTGTAGCTAGCGTTGTCGTCAGGTCCAGCATGGTGCCGAACATGAAGTAGCCCTTCTCGAGCTCGCCAGGGGATAGCCGTTGTTGGTCGGAGTCGGGTCGGAGGCCAATGAAGATGTTGTCAACACGGAAGATCTGTCGTCCCAAGCCGTCGATGAAGATCACTGTAGTGGGGGAGACTGCGTCCTGCAGCCATGGGCGACCCAACAGAATGCCTGTGGGGGTCACATTGTGGTGGGGAGCCATTGGTGGTGAGTGGCCACCTAGAGCTAGGTAGCTCATATTATCGGGGCCACCAAGTGATATGGCCGCAAGTAGATCCGGAAGGAGTGGCGATGTAGCGGGGATGTAGAGGTGCCCGTCGAAGAAGAGCAAGCCTTGGTCAATTGACCAGGCCGGCGTTGCCGTCCCTTGGGTGATGGCGAGGGCGAGGTGGCGTAGCTCTCTCTGTTGAAGCACGGCCCAGCGTAGATTGTCGAAGACCGGCGCGATGGTGCCGAGGGCATCGGGGCGTCGAGACCGGCTTGCCCGGTTCGTTATGTCGCGGGGTGGTGACGATGGTGCTTGTAGTCGAGGTAGCGCTGGTTGTTCCTGTGGTGCCCTGGTGATGGGTGGCGGCGGCGGCGCCGGGAGAGCGAGAACGGTCGCCGGTGCGTGTTGGGGCTGTACGGCGGCGAAGGAGATGGAACGCCCGTTGCGAAAGTACTGAAGCTCCATGGTGGAGAAATCCCATGTGAAGCGTTCGAGGTCCGCCAACCATGGCGTGCCTAGGATGACGTCAACGTCATTGCCGATATCGAGGAGGAAGGCATTGACCTAGAAGCTTTCCGCATTAATGCGGAGTGGCACGCTGAAGGCTCCTGCTCGACACGAGATCTCGTGGCCACTGCCAACGAGAATGGTGGTGGTGATGCGCTGCTCGAGGAGGCTGATAGTTCGTGCGACGTTGATGTCGATGATGTTGTGTGTAGCGCCCGTGTCAACCAATATGTGCCTTATGTGGACACCGGTGCCCAATATCGCCCCTGCAAGAAACATGCGAGGGGAGCTGCGAACCGCTGACTGAGTAGTACCGCTCATCATGAGTAGGCTGTTGTCAATGTCCTTGGTGTCGAAATCGTTGACGGCCGTGATGTCGAAGAGGTTCTTGCATTTGTGGTCGCGTTCCATCATCTCCGTGGAGGTGAGGCGTTTGAGGGGGCGTGGTAGATGTGTTGGTGGCGCGCCTGGTGTCGTTGTCGTTGTCGAAGCCGAGGGGGTCCCTACCGAAAGCAGTTCTGGAACCGGTATCGGTGCAGAAGTGTCGAGGCGAGCAATGAGCTCACCAAACTTCTTCATCCACTGGTCGGTGACATCGCGGATGTCGGGGGTCTTCTTGGGGCGTGGATGCTCGTCATTCCGGCGAGCGTCATTGTCCCCAATCTTGGTGGCGAGGTCGCTGTGGAGATGGCCGGCGGCGGCACGGCTGGCTGCATCTTCGCTGTGAGGTGCAGCAGGCAGCGAGGGCGCGGCGGCGTCGGGCAGCAGCGGGCTGCTGCTGTTGGCGGTGGTAGCCCCAAAGTTGGTGATCGGAGCATACTCGTTGTCGACGATGTGGTAGACATCGTTCCCCTGAGGAACGAACCTGCTGTTGCCGTGCGTGGTTCCCTTGGCGGTGATCTCGTTTGTGGAGTTGGAGTTGTGCTTGGTGACCGAGGAGGTTCCATCTGAAGACCCCTTAGACGCATCTGTAGGAGCAAAATTAGGGCTGATTTTGGTGTCAAACGTGCTGAGTGTTGGTGTGATCTTCTCCAATTGAATTGGATTTGACGGAGGGATCTGGCGTTGCTAATCAAGGAACTTGTTCATCTCCTCCAAAAAGCGATCGGTGATGTTGCGGACGTTGTTGCAGATTGTCTCCATGTCAACGATCTTGGTGGTGGTGGCCATCGGATCGATCTTGTCTCCGAGATACCAGTGTAAGAGGTCGCTTGGCTGGGGCTGCTAGGGCTGAGGGTAGCGGCAGCTATGGTGGTGGCGGATAGGGTTTATGGGAGGAAGAGGGGACGGTGCAGGGGAAGAAGAGGAGGAGGTGACGCAACAGAGAGAGAGAGAGAGAGAGAGAGAGAGAGAGAGAGAGAGAGAGGAGAGGGATAGGGAAGCCCTTAGGCTGTTCTTTCTTGACTGCAATGATTACATAGCCCCTCTACTTATAGTCCTGGGTAGACTTGTATCCTAAGTAATCTAATGAGGGAAGTCCTTATAGACATGGACTCCTCCCTATCTAATCTCAACTGATCCTATTCCTATTGGAGATCCTCCGGGTATGGATAGTGGAGCGGCAGGGACCCGCCCTTGCTGTGCGCGCCTCCTTCCTAGGCGGCGCCCCCCTTGGTGGCGGCACTGCTGCTGCCCCTGGCGCCTAGGCCAGATGGCCCTTCAGCCCTCATTGGGCGTATGACAAAATATATCAAGCACACCATTACCTAGACTTGCATTTAATGTAAACGAAGAAATAAATACCATCAAAATTAACTGAGTTAGTGCCAGTGAACAGTGGTTTCTCAATGTACTATATATTCTTTTACCCCTTTTGAACAAATGAAGAAAACAATCAACATCTAAACATAATACTTCACAAACTTATATAGAAAAAATGTTCAAAGATGTGTTACCAATGACAGTGAATCAAGAAGCTTTGTCTCCAACTCTGCACCGCTTAAACCAATGCTGTCCCATGTTAGAAGTATGAACACCAAATAAAGTGCGACAAAATTAGTCTTTTAACTGTACGTTTGGACTTTAGACGCATCCTCTATGTTTTGTAAACATTGTGTATTGATGTTTGCTAAAGGCATTTTCACACAAAAAAAGGAAAATTGATTACCAAGCTAAGAAGGCATAAAGCTGCATATGATTGACATATTAAACCAAGGAAGAGTTTATTATATTTGTGCATACTGACAAAATATTCTTTCTAAATGCTGATATACAAAACAACTTATAGATCCACACTAGGCACTAGTACATCTAGCAAACAGCATCTTTCAACAGACAGGAGTGCACAAAAGAGAAACAATTGTGCCTTATGCTAAGTTTCAATTATATGAATCCTAGCGTAACAAAAATGAATCATTTTCTTGGGAAAAAGAAATACATGAATAGTGTCACATACCACGTCTCAACAAGCTAAGAAAACCTGTTTTGCTCACTTGATCTGCCTTGGCAATTTCAGTTTGCAGTTTATCCTGCTTAAGGACAAAGTAACATAACATCAGGATCCATGAAGAAAGGGAAATGGAATAAAGTTCAGGAAGTTGGAAAATGAACCTTCAATGGTAGTATGAGCTGTTCAATATCTGATTGAATGATATTGATGATGTGAGGAAGACTACGTATTATGCTGGGCCCTCTTGTGTTGAACAAGTCTCCTATGGACTAATATATTAGAATGAGTAGTGTTAAACAAAACAGGTACTTCAAAATTTCAACGAAAAAATTAACAGTTTTCTGATACCTTCAGAGCCACAATCATTTGACAAAGAGACTTGGCTTTCTCCCGTCTCAGTGGAACCTTGAATTGAGTATTATATATATATCAGTCAAGATGATGTATCAAAGATGTTACTTATGATATAAAGAGGGAAATGTGAAAAGTATCTAAACAGTGCTACTAGACATTTAACAAATATCGAGCTGAGGTCAGTAGGCCAGTAGACATGCACTAGCAACAAATAAAACTCAGAATAAATAGGGGCACCACAGGCCCAAGAACTACTCAAAGTAATGAATAGGTCATAGAACCCCAATGCAGGCCAACAAACACACAGACAACTAGAGAAGCAAAAAAGAGGTAAAACGAAGTTGGTAAGTATAGGTACCTTAAGATGTGTATGTAGGTCGAGCACAGACTGAACAAGCATATGTATTCTATCTGCAAGCAGTACTCCCTGCACTGAAGAGCAAAAGAAATAAGCAAAGCTAGAGGACCGAATCTTATGATTCCTTCCAATAGCATTCTATCAGTAGTTCTTCAAATTCTGTAGTGTTGACAAAAAACTGTTCAAAGACAAGCTTCAAAGAAACTTATAATCATCAGAAAGAAGTATCAATTGCTTTAGAAAAATCAATCACCTCTGTAAAAGTAGGCAACAGTTTTTGCCCGCTCAGCTAAATTGACTACTTAGGAGCACAAGGTAGGTAATTAGCAGATCCAAAACAAATTCATTTGGCACGGCAAGTCTCAGCCAACAAAAATTAATAAGAAAGAAAAAGTACGACAAAATGATCACAAGAAGCCATCTTCAGATCATGGAATGATAACAATGTTTTTTGTAGTTCAGCTTCAAGATATGCTTTACATGTTTAGCATTCAAATCGAACTATCAGGACAGTTTTATTAGGAGGCATTTCAACTAGCAAGAAGGACAAAAGCTAAAATGACCTGCAAAATTTGCTTCTGGAGATGCCGAACCCATTCTTCAGTCAACATCTGCGACTGAAATCAACGCGAGTCAAAACTCAGCATGTTGTGCACAACAAACGCCTAACCCAACTTGTTTGGGACTTAAAGGCTTTGTTGTTGTTGTTGTTGTTGTTGTTGTGCACAACAAACATAAGTCAAGACTCAGCGTGCAATTGTAGTCTCCAGAAGCTGGAAAACTTATTTACCGATGGATGAACAGCTGACTGGAATGAAACAGACCAACAAGACAGTGAATCGTTTATGGCTTCAATATCCCTGCACATACCAACAATATTTATAGGAAAGTGGAGTGCTAAACATTAGATAGAACCTAAGGCTTAGCAGTGTCAAAGTGACAAGCCCAGTAAAGTTCTCAGACATGTGCAATAGAAGCAGAGTCAGATAATACAAAGAGACTCATAATCTTAGGGCGTAACACTTTCAATCAAAATATCTACAAACACATGTTAAGGATGGAGCAATGCATGAAACTTAAGAGAGGGAAGGTAAACACCTCAAATTAAAAAGAAAGAATTATGAAGCTGTTTCCAACCATGGTACAGTTTTTTTCTGTTTCTAAATTCTAGCCTTAATTTGGCAGGTGCTCCCATATCTGTTGATGCTCTCCAAAAGTGTACTTATCTAAGTATAAATCAGAACTACAATTACCCGACTTAAAACTCCACAGATAGAGATAATCATTTTGAAGAAAGTAACAACGGCAACACAGAATGTTGGGCTTCCAAGTTCTAGGATCCTGGTAAGGTGCTGCTAAGATGTACATGTAAAGACAAGAAAATATGCACACCTTGAGTGTACTTCATTTAAATGCGCCAAATAGTTACTCTTCATGATTCCAAAAGCTTCACAGGCTTCCTTAATGGGAGGCAGCAAAGATAGTGCTGGAGGGCAATAACACCTCATTAAATCAGATAGCATGATGCACTTTCCACCTTCAATATAGACCACTGGAACCATCTGCAATATCTCCATTAGTAGTTTCATGGATTTCTTGTCAGGAGTTTCATCTGAAAACATAGAACAGAAAAAAAAAAAACATTGAAAATATAAGCATACTCCATCATACAATAATATCATGTTAAAAGAATAATGTAGATAGGCTAATCAGAATGGTAGAAGCAACACAGAACCATTCTCCAACTTAAGATCATTTTTATTGCTGAAGAGCAGAGAGATTTTGACAAAAAAAAAGTAGATGTATGTATAGTAGTTTAGAGGAAAAGTAGGATTAGAATAAAAGTATGTATATCTATAGATACCAACAACCAGATGTTGATCAAATACCAGTTGCCGATATGAAGAATAAAAGAAGAGCTAGAAGATGGAGTATAGTCTTCCGATCAGATGGGAGTTCCTTCGAAGATCCTGAAATGCAAACTTCAATATTGAAGGCACCAAATGCCAGACAAAACAGTAACATAAAGAAGTAAATCTCTTGAAATAAATTAGGATTGAGAACATGTTCTTTTTAGCGGATACAGTAAGGGGACAGATCAGGTACATGATGCTTACCAACACGTAGAATGATTTCAGAACTGCTCTCAGCAAAGCAAGAATAAAATGCATCTAGAAGTTTCTTGTTGGACCTAACAAGGTCTATTGAAGAACACAAAGGTGAATCTACTAGCACCAGTCGCTGCAGAAAAAAAAAATGCAGTGAGACAAACAGCAGAGTACTTTACGATAGATTTTTAAAAAGAAAACGGTCAACTAATTTGCCAACACTTACATGGAAGAAGCCACTGTCAAAAATCTTCTGCAAGTTGTGGACTACTTGATCAAGGAAATCTATATCCTCAACAGACATACCAAATACATCGACCTCTGATTTCACTTTACTCATCATCCTATGAGAAATGACCAAAACTGATCAATTTTCTGAGCATGCTTATCCTGTTAATAATGCTAGGTAAGGTGGTGTCTAAGATACATGGGTGGACTAAGTATCAACTGATAGAATTTTTTCTCAATGGAAAGAAAGATATGTAGATTTTTGCGTCTAAGATACATGGGTGGACAAAGCGTCAACTGATAGAATTTTTTCTCAATGGAAAGAAAGTTATGTAGATTTTTGCCTAGCATTGTGATATTACATGCATATTTGTTCAGCAACCTCCATAATTTCATGACTGAACATTGACCCACAGCTGAAGCATTTTTGGATTAGTTCGCATATAGATATGACCTATGTCATTGATATTAATTTTATACTACCAAAGGTATAATTTTTTGTAGAAAAAATGTTTTATCTTATTACTCTACATTCCAATACACTTTTCTGATTTTAGCCATTAAGTCACAATTCACTAAAGATTGCGGTATTCCACTTTCACTATTCGAGTAGGTCACAGATGAATCCCACAAAGATCTGTTACCAAAGTTTTAAACTTTCCCTGAAGATGTGCATTCAGCATTACATCCACAGTAAACAGTCCACATATCACCTTAGATGATTCAAACTAAATGAACCTATTACACTACTAAACAAACATTAGTACCTTGAGAACAATGATAAGTGGCTTCTGACATTGCCGTTGTGCCTCAAGATTTCATCCAATAATAGGAACACTGAAAGCCCCTCACCAAGCAATGCAAACACTGTCCTCAAATCAAAACTTCTGAATGAATTCAATGGTCGAACATTCTTGTCCCACACTGAGCAGATCACATCAAGTTGCCGCAGCAGATTCCCAAGAATCACTATCAGCCCATTGACAATCTCATACAGCTCGAGCAACAACGGAATTGAGTGGGCAAACATCTTCTGTGGCTCCCCCTCCAGAAGTGCCTCACCAGAACCCCCTGCGCAGTGCCCAAAGAGGAGCAGTTGCCGGTAGAGACCCTTTGAAGCCTAGAGAAGTCAAAAGGAAAAGAGATAAGGTAGCAAGCACAACCCCACAATCTTTTGTTAAGGAGAAAGAGGTTTGCCTCAGTCTACTGAGCAGGTTATATGCATAGGCATGTGCTTGGAGGTGTTAAGTGTGTTACACTGTACCAAAAACAACAGTACAAGCAATGACAAAAGTAGTGACATCCACCATAACAACTACTAAAACTACAAGGATAACAAGGCTGTACATCATTTCATTGAGCACATGTGAATTGAACTGGCATGTTAAAATTTCCCAGATACTTCTCACTAAACTTTACTAAATGGCTAAATGCGTCCAAGGAAAACCCAAAACTTGATCAACTTTACTAACAAGTTGATCAATTTACAGTTCATGAACTACAGTTAGAAATGAAGGAATGGGTTTCACCAATGTGACTCCGTTCCATCCTAAAACCATGTAGCCGCGCATCACAAATTCACAATACAGAATGGGGGCGGGTTCCAGCGATGATACCGCATCAGAAAGGCGTGATATCTCGATGCAGGAGTGCGACAGCACGGCGACGAACTTGGCGACCGCGACGTTGTCATCGGCCGCCGCGGGGGTCAGAAGTAAGGACGCGGCGCCAGCCCCCGCGGGGTCGGCGGGGGCCACGCAGAGCCTGACGGGACCGGAGGGCACGGAGGGAGCTGGGGAGGGTGGTCCGGAGCCGGAGCTGAGTTCGGAGAGGGCGGCGCGGGAGCGGAAGCGCCACTCGTCGACGTGCCGCCGCAGCTTCTCCTGCTGCTCGAGTAGCACTGCGCAAGAGAACATGAGATGACTTGGGAGGGCCGATTTAGTGGAAGTATATAGGTAGGATGCTCACGTGACGCCATGGCCAGCGCCCAGCGGCTAGCGCCGGCGCCGTCCGCCGTCCGCCGTCGTTGGGATACCACACGAGCCGGCTGGAATAGTGTTGAAATAGTGTCAAAATTTTGGGTCAACTGGATCTAGTATGCGATTAGCAACAGTGTTAAAACAGCAGCTAAAATATTATTCGCTCCGTTCTAAATTATTATAAGTTATTTTAACTTTTTTGAGAGTTAAAGCATCTCAAATTTAATCAAAATTATAGAGAAAATTATAAAGATTTATGACGTCAAATAGACATAGTATGAAAATATAATGAATAAATAATCTAATAATACTTATTTGATATTAAAGGATTATTATTTTATTATATAAAATTGGTTAAATTTGAAATACTTTGACTTATAATTTAGGATGGAGGGAGTTTATTTATATTTAATAAAAAGGAGGAAAAAGTAAGGTAACTCTTAACAAATAGTTTAGCCTATATATTTCTCTATGATTTATGTCTATATTTAATAAATAATATTAAATATACTTATATGTTAGGTTATTTTACTATTTATTTAAGTTCATATGAGCTAGCAAATTGAGTCTGTTATCGAGGATGACCTGTATAAGCTTGTGCTTTGAAAACAACCAGAGATTGAATGGTTCCTACTCTATACATGGTTGGAAGCGATGGTATCGTCTCTGTTTTATATTTGCTTATAGATCATCAAAATATGGAACGGACCATCTAACATATGGGTCCATTGTCATTCTCTCTTTTTCTCTTTCTTCTTCCTCGAAAGGACCGATTGATGGCTAGAAGGATTTAAAATCCTTCGAAGCACAATCACAACTAGGCAAAAGATGAGTGATGAGTAATAAAGGTAAGACATAATAAAAAAAATACTTGCATTTAGTCTAGCAAGCCAAGCAAACACTCATACACAAGTCTAGTGAGAAAAAAGCTAAAAGAACTAAGCTATCAGCCAACAAGTAAGGAGCACAAGCTACTGGAATAACTACTCTAGTAAGAAGAACAACTACACTAAGCAAGCTAAAGATAATCAACTACAAAAGCATGAGAAGCACAAAAGAAAAGAACAAGTGTGGACAGCACAAACCATTAGAACAAAATTGATACAAGGTTTTTTACAAGGTTTGGTGGCTTACTAGCCACCTACATCACAGTTGAAACGAGTTTAGGATTGTTGCTCCTTCGCAAGCTCAACTACCCCTCAAGATAGACACTCCACAAGCCCCGGTATCCACTAGAGTTGCTCTTCACCTTTGTTGGCAGGGATGAGCATAAGAGCCCCTTACGAATCCTCCTCTAGAGCCCCCACACAATCTCCACACAGTTCTCGATGAAGTCCTGCTGCTCCAAGCCATCTAGGTGGCAACAACCACCAAGAGTAATAAGAATCTCATAGCTTTAATGATTCTTTAGTGCCACTAGATGCAAACACTCAATGCAAATAAACTAGATCACTCCCAATCTCGCTCAGATGCAATCTCAAGTATGCTTATGTGAGTGGAGTGCGTTCTTGAGCTCCAATAGGTGTGGATATCAGATGGGGGAGCGAAATAGCTTGGACACACGCTCTATTTATATATTCACTCAACAGCTAGCCATTATGCCCTTTGATTGGGTTGTTCACATGCTCATCAAAAAGCTCCAGTGGGGGCACCCAAGCTTTTCACCGAAGTCCCCAACGACTATATCAATGGCTAGTATAAACTAGCCGTTACACAACCTAAATTCTGGTGCCCTTTCTTCGATGGCACCGGAGAAATCTGATGGCTTCAAACGTTGTGCAAGCAACGATTTTCTACTACAAGTAACCCTTTCTCTGTGGATTCCACCGGTGCTCACCACTGGAGAAATCCGATGGTTAAACACATCTACTCCCTCTGTCCTGAAATATAGAGTGTTTTGGCTATTCTCGGACAAAACAAGGGAAAGTGCAATAGACGCATGTACCCCTCACTTAACTTTCTAAACTATTGAAATCTGATTCTATTCCACATGATTAAAGGGTGAACTCTAAGTCTCCTTATACAAAGTATGGCAAGTACATGAATTACTTTCTTTATACAAAATAATCACATATTTTTATTTAAGTAAACATTATCTCTTGTCGTGTCAGCCATGGTTTCCTATGCGACGTGGCTAAATCATTCATAATATGGTGCAAGCTTGTGTCATACTTGCAATATCATTTCAAAGATCTAAGGGCTGCTACAACTAGGGGTATCAGATTCTAACAAGTTATACCTTTGCCTTTGGGCTTCCGCTCATCCTTATCATTCATTCTCCATCATCTTCACCTTAAACATCACCATGTTGAGCACTTGCACTTATGGACTACAATATCTCCATCATGGTCACCACCTTGCTCAACACCATCTTGTAGATCCTAGCTTAAATATCTCCATGAAAGAATTAGTCCACTAGTTAGCACTAAATTACCAAAACCAAACTTGGAACTTCTATTCCTTCCCAACATACGTGCAACGTCGTCATCCCACTTGGTCGTCTCTTGTCTACCAGTGCCACTGCTCGCCATCCCATATCATAGCTCATCCCATGCATGTTCGCCATCCCACCACTACAGGTTGCCTCACACCCGCCACTTCATCGCTCGCTCGCCTGCCAGTGCTGGCCCCCTCCTTAGCCACGCCTGCTAGCACTGTGGCCGTAGCTTGCCTCACATGGGCTGCTCTATATATTGTCGTCAACTTGTGACACCCGCATTAGCCTCGCATGATGGATTGGTCACTCATGCTCGTGCTCGTGCTATGCGCCACTGTACCACTAGTCCGGATGCCCATGCTCATCGCATGCCTATTGGCAGTCACTAAATGTCAAATTTGACCATCAATTATCTTGGAAATAAAGAAGAACTAGCATCGTTAACATGCATATTTAGTTTTAAATAACATATTTGCACATTTACTTGAAGAATTTTAGTTGTAGGTAACTTTTCATGAAAAATACATGAAATATGGTGAAGAAGTTCAAAATCCAATTATCATCCACATACAAGTATCCAAAAGGCCAACTCCACACCAATTTTACCCAAAAATCAGAGGAACACGGAGAATATAACAAAAAACACGAGGAATATAACACAAAATGGCTTGGTGGGCCAACACACAAAAGGATGGGCCTAGACTAGGATCAACCGATCCTAGCCCAATCAGGGGGTCGGTCGACCCTCAATCAAGGCCAATCAAGCCGAACCGCCTCCAATATCTTCACCCTGCCTACCAAGACCAAGATCATCCATTGGATGCACTAGCTCTCCATCCTAGGGATCGATCAATCCTAGGGGGATAGGGCGGTTTGGCCGATCCCCAGGATCCCCTCTCAGTGTGATCTTCGGTGCACCGCCTTAAGGGGTCATTCCCACCTATAAAAGCATAATGAACCCCATGTATTCGACACCACACATAAGAGCTATAAATCTCACACGTGTAACCTTAGTTTCCAAGTTCTTAGTGGAGAATTAGTCCTAGAGAGCTCAACTAGATCAAAAGGTATTCTTGGTGAGTCTAGCACTCTAGAAGAAGCTTTGTTCATCTTGTAACACTCTTCAAATATCAATGAAATATTCATCTTATTTGTGCTATGTTCATCATGTTCATGCTACTTTTATCCTACTGGTTCATTATTCATATGATCTTGTTCATGCTAGAACATGTACTTACTATGATCTTGCTTAGGCTAGTTATTCATTCTAGTATGAACTCGCTAAAGTTTGTTCATCGTTCATCAAGAACTAGTTTGATATTATTAGTATGTTGGTTACAAAGATTATTTGTTTGACCTATGCAACTACCTAGTTAGGGATTTGATCCATGCTATAGTGTTGGTTTGGTGTGCTTTTGGGTTTGCTCTTGTTCTTTCTGGGAGGATGACAATAGTTGTGGTACTTATACTAGTGTACACCATCAAATACGTGCATAATCCATGGGTTGTAGGGGTAGGCGGTAGGTGTTGACAACCCTATTCATCCTCTATAACCCCCCACTTAGCTCCTTTGCTTGCCCTCGAGTAAAGGTTAAAGTTAAAATAAGCATGAGCATAGCATCTTAAGATACATGGCTAACATAAAAGTCATTCCAAAACATTCCTTATATAGGTGAATATGTGGCATTGGCTAACACATATCCTTGAGCAGTTGACAAGTGTGGAACAGCTGAAAGGGTCGAGATGGCGGACTAGATGGGGGGTGAATAGTCTTTTCTAAAATTAATCGCGTCGGCTAACCGATACAAATGCGGAATTAAAACAATCGGTCTAACCAAGACTACACCCCTCTATATATGTTCACTAGCACCTTGCTAAGATACCAATTATGCAATTAAGGTGTCGGGCTAGCTAGAGCTCTCCTAAACAATTCTAAGAGCAAGGTTACACAAACCTATGCCACTAGTATTTTAAGCAACAAGAGAGCTCCTACACATGCTAGTAAACAAAAGCACAAAGCTAACTATGCTCACTAGCAATGCTCAATAACAAGGCAACCAATGCCTAATTAGAGAGCGCAAGTACTTAGCTACACAAACTAAGCATTGTGACTAACAAGGTTACTAAAACCAAATTAGCCACGCAAGGGACCTACTTCTATGCTACACAAGCAAGAAGGTAATTAGCAAGCTACACAAGCTATCTAATTATAAGAGCAACTACACAAGCTTAATATGTATAAAAGTAATTGCAAGCTTGTGTAATGGGGATGCAAACCAATGGGAAGAACAAGGTTGACATGATGATTTTTCTCCCGAGGTTCACGTGTTTGCCAAAACGCTAGTCCCCGTTGTGTCGACCGCTCACTTGGTGGTTCGGCGGCTAATTAGCATCACCCGCTAAGCCCGCACGTCGGGCGCCACAAGAACCTACCCCTTGAGTGAGGGTAGCTCAATGACACGCTTTACTAAAGTTGCTCTTCGTGGCTCCCGCGGGGCGAGCACACTGCCCCTCACAAAGCACTTCTCCGGAGCGCCGCACAAGCTTCTTGCAGGCTTCGAC